CTTTCTTGTAACTCACTTAAATTATGTCAAACGACCTAAACGTTGCAAGTAAACATTGAAAACATTAATCGGCCTCGGGTCTCTTCAATATTTTTTTTCAAATCATAGTCATATTTTTATTAACATATAACGGAAACAAGAACTTCGGCTTGAGCACAAGAACAGTCTCATGAATACGGGCCCGGACAATGTCTGGTGCCACAACTAATCAGAAAGATAGATAATCATATGGCGTCCTTACACCTTTCCAAATAAAACGCTACTCTTCCTGGACTACAAATGTGAAGCGTCTTTTATCCACAGTACGGATTTCTTCCAGGACTACAGCACGGACTTCTTCCTGGACTACAGCACGGATTTCTTCCTGGACTACAGTACGGATTTCTTCCAGGACTACAGCACGGACTTCTTCCTGGACTACAGCACGGATTTCTTCCTGGACTACAGTACGGATTTCTTCCTGGACTACAGCACGGATTTCTTCCAGGACTACAGCACGGACTTTTTCCTGGACTACAGCACGGATTTCAAGTTTTGTTTACGATGCCTACCTTGGACCTGGTCATCAAACATTGTATACAATAGTGAGCACCCACCTCTGGAGACTTAGTGGCAGGGTCCCATAGCCTTATATATTGTATGCTTTTCAAGATATAAGATCTACTAATTATTAATCAATTTGTTTTGGTACACAATGTAAATATGTATTTTTATGAAGATTTCCGGCTACCAGCTGGTTGAAAGGAAATGCATTAACATCAGCATATATAAATCTGTTTTAGCAGTTTTATATTTTGTTTTATGTTTGTGTCTTCACAAAAAGGCAAAGACTATACTGTTGTTATACAACATTGTATAATAATTATGTAAAATGAACTTCAAGAAATACTCTGAACATAAAATCATTGCAAATTAATATTTTAATCCATTTCTTTTGTCAATAAAGGTTTTATCGAATATATTCTGGCATATTTATAAAAAAAACCAATTCAATCAGTAATTTTAGGACTACACAATTACAACCTCTGATGACAAAACCGTAATACTGATCATGAAAACCTTAATACAGTTAGGAAGGCGTATATAGCGACATACATGTAAAAAGTCAATTGATCCATTCAAACATATTCATATTTCTTTTATACTTGGATGTCACATCAAAATTCATACGCAAATTATAAATAAATACATCACTATGATTATATCTTATTTTATATTATTCATTCAACATTCACTATAACAACGTTTTCAAATACAAGGTTTTCATTGCATATTAAACATACATATAGATGTACTCTTTTGTACTCGCAAAGGTTCCTTAACTCAGTGACGGCTGATTATATAATATATTAATTCTCCTACTATGATTAACATATATAAATAAGATGATGAACAAAAATGAATCAACGAACCTGTTTATTTTATCCTACTTTTTACCAAAAAGTAATTGCCTACATTTTTTCCATTAGCAGTAATTAATCCATACGACTTTTGACTTTTCCAGTATTAAAATTTATCATATCACTTTATTCTTGGCATCAATTACGAAAATAAATCACCTTTTTACATGAAAAAAGCCGTAGTTCCGAGGAACTGGTATACAGATGATTAATACATGTTTTTTTCCATATCACACCCGAGACTGCAATATCAGCCCAAGGCCCGAGGGCTGATATTGGTCGAGGGTTGATACTGGGTGTGATATGGAAAAAGGCATGTTTTATTCTGTTTATTACATACTTACTTATAAAAGCTACTATCTGATGATTTTTTTTCTATTAAAATATTGAAAAACGAATAACTTTTAAAAGAGGTGTGATACGGGTTTTGCGAGCTGATACGGGTTTTGGGGTGTGCTACAACGGGGGCTGATACCGCTTTTGGGGTGTGATACGGCGAGGGCTGATATGGGTAAGAGCAATTGTGTCGTATCGCATGTACGAAAAAAAGTTTTTATTATTAGTATGTAATTAAGTATTTTATCGAACGTAATAATTCATGTTAATAGATTGATCAATGAACAGTATAACAAGTCCAAACTGATCGGTGAGAAGCATGGAGGTAGTTACACACCGTAGTGAGTCAACATTCATGTTAATAGATTGATCAATGACCAGTATAACAAGTTCAAACTGACCGGTGAGAAGCATGGAGGTAGTTACACACCGCAATGATGAGTCAACATTCATGTTACCCAACTCTAGTTAACGCATTGATTATCACTTATGAAACACACTTAGACCGTTTTCGTGTGAACGGTCAAACCAGTCGGACCACAGTTGTTCGTTTATTAAATAAAGTCGATCTAGTTATCTGATGCTGCTTTCAGGCGAGCCTTGACAAAGCCTTGCAAGGCCTGCATGAACATTTGCAGGTCCGATGTATGCACCAAATTGTTACATTTATAAATGGTCAAACCGGTTGTTCCGCATAAACGAACAGGCCCCAGCTTATGTAATAAATAGATGATATTTACTGGTTTTTAATTGTCGAGAACAGCCTTCTATATTACTACTACAAGTCTACCGGTGGCCATCAGCAAACATGCAAGTTATGTAAAGGTGCAAGGTGAACAACTTAATGCTTTCACAAAAGGGTCAGTCTAAGGCTATAGTATTACTTATAGAAAAGAACAGTGTGTCCCTTTGTATTAACATCGAACACCATTTAGTGTTAGAAATGGATACGTGTAACTATTGAACAATGCATCGGTGATGACGATAACAACGGCATGCCATTTGTGTGTTTGTAGTCCGAGTCACGTATACGTCCATTCATGCATATTGGTGACCTTTTGGACAAGCACAGACCTTGATTGCCCAGTGACAATATTGGGAATATCACAAGCTTTCCATATTCAAATACTCAGAGTGACACCTGGGTTTTTATAAGTCAGTCCTGCTTTGTAATTTCAAACGAGAACGTGTAATTCTCAGGAAATTAAACTAACAACAAAATATCAAAGGGCAGATAAAAACGTGATATTTAAATAAAATTGGATAACATGGAGCATGCTAAAATATTAACGAAGTACTGAAACGGAGGATACCTCACTCAACACCTAAACTAACGGAGGATACCTCACTCAACACCTAAACTAGCACTGGTCGTTATTTACACGTACATTGTATGTAGCCTCCAGGAAATCATAACAAGGAGTTTTTTTATTCGTCAGGGAATGTCTATAGATTGATTCTAAATCAAAACATAATTCATCACGTGATTACATGATTCCTGTTGCGATACATTTATCAATCATCAATCAAATCCATATCATAATACTTTTAAACAGGCAATGGATTATTCCTGAATCACATAGTTTATGTTAATAACATACTGTCCCATGAATTTGTTTTCAAAGATTAATTTCTCCTCAACCAATTTCTTCATTTTCTTCAAACAATTTCATCAATGATGGTCATTTAAGATTATTCCTGGATTAAATACTACTGTCAATGACGTATCAATAAATATTTTCCTAGTAAATCAAAATCATGTTTATATGCACCTACATCTGGTAAAACCATTTAATTTGTTGTTGGTAAATTGTGGACTTTCTTCCACAAAAATTTCTGGTGCAAAAACGATTTTACAAGTAACTGTGCATTATTATGCCAGTACATGTAGCTGTCTATTAACAAACACAATGATAAACAATTACTTCCTGACTATGGACAGCTACAGGTCAATATTTTTTCATTGTGCACTCTAGTACTCTACTATATAATGTAAAAACAGAACAATGGATGACATCACAAATGTTTTACGTACAATGTTTTGAATAGATTTTATGCTTTAGGACAGATGTACTAAAACGTCAACATTATTCTTTGGGTAGGTAAAGCTGATAAATGGATATATATAAAACTAGAACACCGACAGGTCAGTAAGGGCCCCGTCTTGTGGCAATATATCCCCCATAATCATCAAGAAGCAATCTGCCCATATAGCTGAGCTTGCCGTTTGACATTTGGACTTCAAAAAGAATTGCAAGGAAGCAAAATGTACATTTTACATGTACTATGATGTGAGTCTTGTTTCCTTCCACCTCCATATTTGCTGGGCTAACAGAAATGTAAATACCGGTGCAATACTCATTTGTTAGCTATGATTTGTTTTATTTCACCTTATATACCTCCTACATCAAGAGCCAGGGTCAAAGTCAAAGATCTACTTTGTCTTTGACTTTTGGACCCAAATGACCTTGACCATTAACCTAGTGACCCTGAACTTTGGTCAGTTGACTTATTTTTTAATTCCGACCAACTTTGCTTCTTGATATCATAACAAAATGTTCATCAGTGAAAAATACAAAACTTGACCTTGACCCTTTGGACCCCGTAACCTGGACCTAAGGTAAGTTGACTCTGTGTTAAGTTCTGAACAACATTGCTTCATAATGTCATAACAAAATATTCATCAGGGAAAAGGTACAAAATTTAACGTTGACCTTTGACCCAATGACCTTGACCGTTTGTCAGTTGACTCCTTGTTTAATTCTGATCAACTTTGCTTCATCATGGCATAACAAAATGTTTATCAGTGAAAAGATGCAAATTTGACCTTGACCTTTGAATCCAATGACCTTGACTTTGACCTCGACTTTTTACCTCAGTGTGTCTCTTTGTTTGATTCCGAACAACTTTGCTTCATCATGTTATAGCAAAATTTTCACCAGTGAAAAGCTACAAAATTTGACCTTGACCCCTGACCCGATGACCTTGACTCAGTTGACTCCTTGTTTAATTCTGATCAACTTTGCTTTATCATGTCATAACAAAATGTTCATCAGTGAAAATATGCAAATTTGATCTTGACCTTTGAATCTAATGACCTTGACCTTTGACCTCGACTTTTTACCTCAGTGTGTCTCTTTGTTTAATTCCGAACAACTTTGCTTCATAATGTCATAGCGAAATGTTCACCAGTGAAAAGCTACAAAATTTGACCTTGACCTTTGAACCTAATGACCTTGACCTTTGACCTTGATTTTTTACCTCAATGTGTATTTTTGTAAACTGGACATCTTGACCATGTTTCATGTACATCGGTCAATAAATACCAAAGTTATCAGCCTGGAACAGAATTTGTGGACCGACCGACAGACAGACAGACAGACAGATTACTATAGGGCACCCGTATCTCTGATACGGGGCCCTAATAAGGATAGTTCAGTAGAGCATCACCATTATTTTATACAGAACATCAAGATAAACCGGTATGTTTGAGAAGTTGATGTCCATGGAAATATCTGCAAAATGTCATATATTTTATATCTTTTGAATGCAATACCTTGAATGGTGTAAATCTAATACCGAACTATACGGTATATACAAATTATGATCACTATAAATCATGTTCAATAATTATAATAAATATAACATTTGATTGATTAGAGAGCACTCTAATCAAGACAGTCATACATTCACGTTGTACTAAATAAACCAACTCTTTAAGATTAGCCAGAAATTCCTGATTTCTCAAACCCAGGAGGAATTTTGACATCATTATTCATTTTTTGGACCAGAGTAAAGCCTGGTGGTGGGCGTTTCACCCCACAGCTTGGCTGACTAGTCCTTTCCTTACCAGTAATAACAGCGTCCTTTGTGTTAGTATCACTTCTACCTTTACACACACAAATTTCTTTATCTTTGTTCCAATGTTTATGATCCTGAACAAATCTGTCATTGTACTTTTCTGGTTTACCCCCAAAGCTGTCACTTTTTGAGTTCTGTGTCTCCGAGTTGTGTTTACCTCCTGGTTTTACACTGCTTTTGTTTGTACCTGCCGACTCATCTTGTCTTGTACGAGTGTGATCATAAGAGACCTGTCCACTGTTACTTTTGCCATTGACCCCTTTTATGTCAAATTTGCCATTGACCTCCCCTTTGTCATTTTTGCTACTGACCTCTCTTCGTTCACTATGTCCATGCTTAGAATATGAGTCATAATGATATTGTGTCCTGTTGCTAGGTCTCCCGAAACCCTGATTTCTCCCTTTGTAGCCAGAGTTAGGGCGTTGGAAACCTAGTTCTTTGGAAACTTTTCCTTTGTAGGTAGAATTAGATCCGTGTGAATCTACTTCACTCAAATCACATGCTTCGTCAGAACGTGACAACGAAGTGTTTCCAATATCACCTTTTTCCTGTGGATCAGTATTATTTTTCTCCAGTTCAGGTTTACTTTTAACAGCTTCCTGGTTGGCACTTCGCCTTGATCCACGTCCATGACCTCTCTCAGTACGACCCTGACCTCTTCCACGACTAGAATGTTCCCTTTCCCTGTCATCATTTTTACCCTTATAATAATTTCTGTTTTCATATTCAGAATTTTTACTTTCACTTCCCCTATAGTTTGTTTTGTTAGAAGACCTAGCACTAATTTTACCTCCTGACGCAGGAAATCCTTTCCTTTGAAAACTTTTATCAGAATCTATACTGACTCTTTCTGTCTGTTTTTCCACACTTTCTTTGGGAGAAATAATGCTACTTTTGTCACGGTCTTCCTGACCTTGACCTGCACTGTCCTGTTCTATGTCTTTAGTTATTGCACTTTTATCCCCATTGGTCTTGTTTGTTTTGGGATCATCATCTGCTGCAGAACCTCTGTTAACAGTCCTAAATTGACTTTCAATTTCCGTTTTAGAAGCAGTTTCACACCTTTCATTTACAGCCTTGTGTTCCTTATGTTGTGGAGAAACATTTCCACTACTAACATCTGTCCGATCAGATCTAGTAGCATCTGTTTGGACAGATCTACCTAAGGACCGTTTTTCCTTATCATAGTCTGCTTTCCTTTCCCTCTCATCAACCTGACCTGTGTGGTAACTTCGATTGACTTTATGTCCACCTCTATTCCTCCCAGCATTTGACCGATGTCCATCCCGGCCATTGTTCCTATGACCTCTGTACCGTTGATGTCTGTCCGTATGTCCAGAGCTCGGCCTTGGGTGATCTTGTCTGTTTGTTCTCTCTCTGTTCGAACCGTGCAGTCCTGCACTTCGACTTTTACCTTCAACCGTAATTGGTTTGATGTCTACTGCCTGCCTGCTCTCCTTAGAATTTGTACTTGACTTCGCTAAGTTATCCAGCTCAGAGCTTGTTCCTTGCCATGGCAGTTTTACAGTGTCCTGAAAACCAGAATAAAACAATAAAAACTGGGGAATTACAAATTTGCAGTGGAAAAGTTACAATAGACCTACATTCCTTGAATGATAGTTTTATAATGCTAAAGTAGCGATACATCAATCTCTCTTCACATGAAAGTTTCCCGGAGGAAGGAAACTGACAGCTTACTTCCTGTCTAAACTAAAAGAGTTGTTGTATACATTAACAGATTAAACACCTTTCTAACACAGCTACAAGAATTGGGGTATACAGCAAAAGATACATGTGAATAACAGACATTTACCCCATCTTAATGTACATATTTACAACTAGGTAACTTACCTCTGCTGTAACCAGAAATTTGTTTTTCTCTGCCTCTAGGTCAATGATTCCACCTTTCTGTTTTTGAGATTTCAAAATGTCTGCCATTTCAACTTGCCATTTACAGATCTCAGCTGATGGTTTGTATAACTGGTGATCATCTTCTGTGGTCTGACGTTTACTCATGGACAGAAGGTCAAGGTCATAATTCATGATCTCCCTACACACTGGACAAAATACCTAAAAATGAATTAAGGAAATTTAATTATATATGTGTCGTAATGTTAGTGTTTTAGAGGATCCCCGTACCACCACCAAAAACTGTATGTAAGTGTAGGAAACTGGTTTTTCCGGCATGACTAAAGCTTTGATATCATTTTTAAAAATAAAAACATACCTTGTGGGACTTAAACAAAATATAATCAATAACAGTGTTCATAAGTGTTTAAAACAACAGTGAGGCTAAACCTGGATTCGAACCCTGTAGTTCATAATGATGTACTATTGCTGTAATAGATTTAGCTTCATTTTCTTTGTTCTTTGTCAAAAGAAATATCCTGGCCTAACTGTTCTACAGTTATATCTAAAGGGAAGTTAAGGGGATGTTACTGTATATACATGTAAAAAAAACGCAGTGCAGTGGTGGGACTGGTATCCTTTAGGATTTGGAGAATCAGTATTAAATAAAAACCTATACATACAAAATATCAATATTATACTTGATTAAATATTGCTGGACCCAGTAATTTCTTGAACATTCTAATAGAAAAAAAATAGTTTTGATATTAAAATTCACTTATTCTTATCTGCTACATAATGTATGTTAACTATTATTTGACATCATTGTAGTGATTTTCTCTAGTGTATCAGAACCTTGACACGGTCTTCCTGTCCTAGCTCGTCATGTTTGGGGCGCTGATGTGCCTCACTCTTCAGGCTCTCAAGGGTGTGTGTAACATATCGGTACAGACAGTGTTGATGAAAGTAGTGGTAACAACCGGTACGTGTAAACTCCTCCCCCTTAGAAAAGTGGTCCAAACATATTGTACATGGACAGTGGGGTACATTTCCTTCCGTCAGACTTTCCTTGGCCAGCTGTGGAGATAAATAGTGTAGATTGTGTATGTATAGTACACTAAAAAGTAACACAATCTACAAGAAAGTACTGGTATCTTGCTGCATATGGTTTTCCAAAAAATAATAACAAACAATTGTTGTATTTACCCTAAAACACAAATCAGTTAACAAGCAAAGGTGAATGATTTTGACTACTTTTTAGCTTAGAACCCCATCAGAAACTGTGATAATGTGGAAGCTGTTCAAATAGTCTATGAAAACTAAATGATATTTTTTGTACTACCATGCATATATGGTAGCTCTCAATGACAGGGTAAATGTTCACTCAGAAACAAAACAATACAGTAGAGACAATAGATAGATTAAACTGTATTTCTGCTGGGTTTGTAACAGGATACAGTTAACTTATTATGTTTTTTTAGCTTATACCAACCTTCTTCTAAACTTTAACATTTGACATACTGACCAGAAAGACAGTTTAACAAATAAGAGTGTTTAGGTAAACAAGAGGCCCAATGGGCCTGCATCGCTCACCTGGTATTAATTTCACACTTGTAATCTTAAAAGTGGACTGAAATACAGCAACAGGCAGAATATCAGTGTTTGATTCATAAGAACCTATTAAAAGATAGGTACATATGACGCCTGTGACCTTGAATGTCGAACAAGGACATTAGGTTGAAAGTGGGTCAAGAACATTCATTTGAGCAAACTTAGTAGCCCTTCATCCCAGCATGCTTCGAGCCCAATATCAGTACCCTGGGCCTTTTGGTTATTGAGAAGAAGTTGTTTAAAGATTTTAACATATTTGACCCCCTTGACCTTGAAAATTGATGAAGGTTATTTATTTGAACAAACTTGGTAGCCCTTCATCCAAGCATGCTTCTGGCCAAATATCATCACCCTAGGCCTTTTGGTTACTGAGAAGAAGTTGTTCAAAGTAAAAAGTTGACGCTGGACGGACGCCGGATGGACACCGGACGGACGGACGACGGACGCAGCACCATGCCCTAAGCTAACAGGTGAGCTAAAATAGGAAAGCTATTCTACCTTCTACCTTTGATGAAGTACATGTAGAAAAGTCCTTTATTAACCCATACAAAACCTATAGCTACTGTCTTGCTGCAGTTCACAATTAATGGAGTTACAGAATAGAAATTTGTAGCATATGAAAATGCAACAAAATTATTCCATATTTTATTCTCTCCATATTTATTTTTCCATTTATTTTTTAATGACTAACTTGAGAATGGTTTAGGTCAATAGTTTGTAATAATGTTTAAATATCTACAGTGATACTCACCTCTATAATATCATATAACATATGTCCTCCTCTTCTCTCCTCTGCCAGCTCATTGATGGCTTCATGTAAGCTGAAAAAGAGGAATGTATTGATGAGATTTGAAAATACTTACTATTTTGAGAACTTGGTTGGGATATTCCAATTTTTAAAACCTAACATTTCAAACGAAAGATGCACTCAACCATAAAAACAGCTACATAATACAATATTATACTGTAGCATCCTAGACCAACAGATTCGCAAAAACATGATATTTCTCTATTGAGTTTATTTATATCTATACTCAGGATTTGAAATGTTTCTGACGAAAAACCCCCAAAAGGAATCATAATGCAACTAGAAGTGTAAACCATAGGTAAACTGATATCCCTTTATAATTGAAATTTATGCAGTGTTTTAGCAGAAATAGTCAGGACAGTTTTTTATGGTAAAGGGGCATAACTTCACAAAAAGTAACGTAAAAACAAAGAGCTCATGGTACTGGAGGATTGGCAGCATGTGAGTGTGTATTTTTTTCTTCTAAATTTTATCCTTAATGGGCAGACTTCATTACGGTGTCCATATAATCACTGATAATAATTTGTGAATCGCTTTGAGATGACCTAGGACCTAGGTTGTGATAAAGCGGTATATAAGAACCTCAAATTATTATATATTTATGCGGAATGATATAAAACAAATTAGGCCATCTCTTTGCTGTTACAAAAGCACCATAAGCTTGTCTTACATTTTAATTTATGACTGTATACATGAACAAGAGGCCCAGAGGGCCTGTATCGCTCACCTGGATATCTAAGCAATCATGGCAAAATATTCTCCAAATGAGATCCAAGGGAATATGCCAAGGCCAATCCTTGTAGCATATATTTATTAGATTGTTCATGCCAAGCACTTTTATGTATGGTTATTTGGTGGGGATCTCAACTGTTTCCAAGCTGTGACTCAGAAACTAGGTCCCTAGGGTTGTGGCCAGACCCCAGGATCAATTCTAATATCATGACTGCATTTGTCTCTTTTTGCCCAGCATTTGTATATATAGTTTTTGGGTGGGGATCTCAACCGTTTCAAAGTTATGACCCGGGGGTTAAGTCTGCAAGGGTGGGACAGAACCTGGGGTCAATTCTTATATCATGACTGCATTCCTCTCTTTATGCCCAGCATTTGTATATATAGTTTTGGGGTGGGGATCTCAACCGTTCTTAAGTTATGGCCCAGGGACTGTCTCCAAGGGTGGGGCCAGACCATAGGGCCATCCTAGAAGCAATTTTGGGGTAGGGATCTTAACCATTTCGAAGTTATGACCCAGGGGTTAAGTGTCCAAGGTTGGTACAGTCCCCAAGGCCATCCTGGAAGCATATGCGCATTCATCTCTTTATACTCAGCAGTTGTATATTTGGTTATAGTGTGGGGATCTCAACTGTTTCCAAGAAACCAGGTCCCTAGGGGTTCTGTCAGACCTCAGAGTCTATTCTAATATCATGACTGCATTCGTCTCTTTATGCACAGCATTTGAATATATAGTTTTGGGGTGGGGATCTCAACCGTTCTAAAGTTATTGCCCAGGGACTGTCTCCAAGGGTGGGGCCAGACCCAATGGCCATCCTGGAAGCAAATGTGCATTCTTCTCTTTATACTCAGCAATTGTATATAAGGTTATATGGTAGGGATCTCAACCATTTCCAAGTAATAAAACTTTTTTTGGCCCCACCCCTTAGCCCGGGGGGTCAGCTCCACCATTTGTACAATTTTGAATCCCTGCCTCCCATGAATGCTTCCGACCAAATATGATCAATATCCATGGCACAGTTCTACAGAAGTCGTTTATAGCAATATAGCCAAATTGTCCCTGCCCTCAGCCCAACCACTTGTACAATTTTGAATCCCCACCACCTAGGGATGCTTCCAGTCAAATATGGTCGATATCCATCTCTTAGTTCCAGGGAAGAAGTCGCTTAAAGCAATATAGCAAAATAACCCTTTTTGGCACCACCCCTAAGGGGGTCAGCCCCACCATTTGTACAATTTTGAATCCCCACCAACTAGGGATGCTTCCAGTCAAATTTAGTTAAATTCCAATCAGTGGTTAAGAAGAAGAAGTTGTTTAAAGAAATTGTTGACGGACGGACGCCACGGTATGGCATAAGCTCACCTTGGTCCTTCGGACCCGGTGAGCTAATAAAACCAAAGCAATAGCATGCATAAACAAATACATGTAGTACAATGAAAGTTCAATGTTTCCTTTTACTACACACTATATATTACATCCTTTGATTTTGCTATGATATGGTCTTATCTGGCATGGCTATAATATGGTAAACATTATCACATTGATACTCTAACATTTGTGGGAAGTTTTGTTATGCTGTAACATAATTAATTTTGAAAACCGTATCAGATAATCAAATTCAAAGAAAGTAACTTTTAAATACATATAAAGTCACAATTGCTCAAAGAAAGACATATGATCACATGTTCTATGTTTTCTACTTTGGTTTCATAATCACAGCTTGACTAGCACAGAAGGCCTATCAAATTATCTAGATTTAAATGTACAGAAATGTTCTTATGGTGACAATGTTCTGTGTAAGAACTCATTTCTCTTAACTCTTGCTCTACTTTTGTCTTCCTCATTTAGCTTTCTCCACTCCTTGGGAGATTCTGATAGAACTCACCTCTCTTACTCCTCCTCTCCCACCCCTTGGGAGATTCTGATAGAACTCACCTAGATCTCTTACTCCTCCTCTCCTACCCCTTAGGAGATTCTGATAGAACTCACCTCTCTAACACCTCCTCTCCTCCCCTTGGGAGATTCTGATAGAACTCACCTCTCCAACACCTCCTCTCCTACCCCTTTGGAGATTCTGATAGAACTCACCTCTCTAACACCTCCTCTCCTACCCCTTGGGAGATTCTGATAGAACTCACCTAGATCTCTTACTCCTCCTCTCCTACCCCTTGGGAGATTCTGATATAACTCACCTCTCTTACACCTCCTCTCCTACCCCTTGGGAGATTCTGATAGAACTCACCTCTCTAACTCCTCCTCTCCTCCCCTTGGGAGATTCTGATAGAACTCACCTCTCTTACTCCTCCTCTCCTACCCCTTGGGAGATTCTGATAGAACTCACCTCTCTTACTCCTCCTCTCCTACCCCTTGGGAGATTCTGATAGAACTCACCTCTCTTACTCCTCCTCTCCTACCCCTTGGGAGATTCTGATAGAACTCACCTCTCTTACTCCTCCTCTCCTACCCCTTGGGAGATTCTGATAGAACTCACCTCTCTTACTCCTCCTCTCCTACCCCTTGGGAGATTCTGATAGAACTCACCTCTCTTACTCCTCCTCTCCTACCCCTTGGGAGATTCTGATAGAACTCACCTCTCTTACTCCTCCTCTCCTACCCCTTGGGAGATTCTGATAGAACTCACCTCTCTTACTCCTCCTCTCCTACCCCTTGGGAGATTCTGATAGAACTCACCTCTCTTACTCCTCCTCTCCTACCCCTTGGGAGATTCTGATAGAACTCACCTCTCTTACTCCTCCTCTCCTACCCCTTGGGAGATTCTGATAGAACTCACCTCTCTTACTCCTCCTCTCCTACCCCTTGGGAGATTCTGATAGAACTCACCTCTCTTACTCCTCCTCTCCTACCCCTTGGGAGATTCTGATAGAACTCACCTCTCTTACTCCTCCTCTCCTACCCCTTGGGAGATTCTGATAGAACTCACCTCTCTTACTCCTCCTCTCCTACCCCTTGGGAGATTCTGATAGAACTCACCTCTCTTACTCCTCCTCTCCTACCCCTTGGGAGATTCTGATAGAACTCACCTCTCTTACTCCTCCTCTCCTACCCCTTGGGAGATTCTGATAGAACTCACCTCTCTTACTCCTCCTCTCCTACCCCTTGGGAGATTCTGATAGAACTCACCTCTCTTACTCCTCCTCTCCTACCCCTTGGGAGATTCTGATAGAACTCACCTCTCTTACTCCTCCTCTCCTACCCCTTGGGAGATTCTGATAGAACTCACCTCTCTTACTCCTCCTCTCCTACCCCTTGGGAGATTCTGATAGAACTCACCTCTCTTACTCCTCCTCTCCTACCCCTTGGGAGATTCTGATAGAACTCACCTCTCTTACTCCTCCTCTCCTACCCCTTGGGAGATTCTGATAGAACTCACCTCTCTTACTCCTCCTCTCCTACCCCTTGGGAGATTCTGATAGAACTCACCTCTCTTACTCCTCCTCTCCTACCCCTTGGGAGATTCTGATAGAACTCACCTCTCTTACTCCTCCTCTCCTACCCCTTGGGAGATTCTGATAGAACTCACCTCTCTTACTCCTCCTCTCCTAACCCCTGGGAGATTCTGATAGAACTCACCTCTCTAACTCCTCCTCTCCTTCCCCTTAGGAGATTCTGATAGAACTCACCTCTCTTACTCCTCCTCTCCTACCCCTGGGAGATTCTGATAGAACTCACCTCTCTAACTCCTCCTCTCCTTCCCCTTAGGAGATTCTGATAGAACTCACCTCTCTTACTCCTCCTCTCCTACCCCTGGGAGATTCTGATAGAACTCACCTCTCTAACTCCTCCTCTCCTTCCCCTTAGGAGATTCTGATAGAACTCACCTCTCTTACTCCTCCTCTCCTACCCCCTGGGAGATTCTGATAGAACTCACCTCTCTTACTCCTCCTCTCCTACCCCTTGGGAGGTTCTGATAGAACTCACCTCTCTAACTCCTCCTCTCCTTCCCCTTAGGAGATTCTGATAGAACTCACCTCTCTTACTCCTCCTCTCCCACCCCTTGGGAGGTTCTGATAGAACTCACCTCTCTAACTCCTCTTCACCCACCCCTCGGGGGTTCCTGATAAGAATCTCCGGTAGCTCATTCGGATACTGTAAACAAAATGTAAGATAAGTCACATTTTACATAACACATGATTTTGATTTCAAGAAAACAGGTGTATAGATACGATACAAAACGGAGTATATAACATGGACATGTATGCTCCATGCATAACCTGGTCAGATTGCAGTATATTTATTTAATATTCTGCAATTGCACTGCTTCTCCTTAGACTGAAAAATTGTATAAAATCGCCTTTTAAAGCAGTAAATATTTCACCATCCTTAGAAAAATTATAATGGATGTACTAAAAGGCATATATTGTAATAGTAATAATGAGCGCACACCATCCTACTGATTGTGATGACATTGACAGTGATCATATAAAGAAATGACCTGCAATAAGCAGGCATGACCTTCATTTTTACCACATATATATATGAACTATATTTCACTGTTTAGAACTAGGCAGGTATGTTTAAGTGTTTTTAGTGTTTGTAATTTATTTTTCAAACATACATTTATAAATCAACAGTTGGATACATCAGCCTGGTTAAATTTCATATTAGGTATAAGGTCATCCTGACAAGGGTCTCAAATGTAGATTAGGTGTAACAACGTGTTGAACTGTATTTACTCCAGAGTCCAATTATAATACACTAGTCTACCTACATTGTGTATACATGTACTACAATTTAAGGAAACACATACCCCGACAGGCACATTGAGTGTCAGTGTCATACAGACAAACTTCTTATGCACATCCTCGCCTGTAGATGGGTGTAGCTGAACGGTGATACTTGATGGATGACCGCTATTGAGTAGGGAGAAGACAAGAGTAACATTAGATAAGGGAGGTAACTCAATAAAATTAGGATATGGGAGAATTTTGTCATAACATATTTTCAAACTGATTTCACACTTATTTCTTATGGTGCTTTCCAGATTTCCTACTGCTATTAATTCATGATCGATTGTAATACAAATAAATTTGCTATCCTATCTTTCTATATATATGTCAAACATTTTCCTCACATCACATTGTAATTGCAAATGAACAGGAAACTGATTATCAAAATATTACTTGTCATTATTGTCCACTTCAAGTTCATCAATGTATATAGACTCCAGGACCTCCAGCTCCTCTTGAATTATACTACAAATCAAGGAACAACAATTAATCTGGGATTACAATTTTACATGTAGTAAATATAACCTCTGTCTGCATGAACAGTGTACATGTAAATGTGTAGGCCACAGAGACATTTCAAATACTAAAGGTACATATAGTGTCAGGTTGTATCACCCTAAAGCTGGTTCACCCTGGGTCATTTTGCACTGAGCTGTTTCGCCCTAAAATTAGTTTTAGAGTGAAACGTTTTAGTCCCGTTTAGTTGTGTATGGCTAAGACAGTCTAATCTGAAGCTTTTAGAGTTCTGCCTCTGTATTTTTTGTCAGTAGACTCGTTAGATTTGCACATGGTCATATACGATGTAGCTACACCTGCATATAATTCTTTTGACAACACAATCGTCCATGATACATGAAAAACAAAACTTTTTGAATAATTAAATTAAATTACTTAATATTGCTTAAAAAATATATATCTATATTAGGGCAAAACAACCTTGGGCAAACTGTTTTTAGGGTGAAACGATCAACAGTGTGAAAGGGATTTAGGGCAAAACGACCTGGAACTCCTATATATATGGTTTGTTATATAATTTGCTTGTTGTGCTTAACTCTTTATATAATGTGTTTGTTATGTAATTCGTTTTGTAGTGCTTGCTTGTTGTATAATAACTCAAAATACCTAGCCTTATTGTCATCTGATGTTTTAATTATTCCGATTAACATTATCTTTACTATTCCTTTATCATGCTCCATACACTCTGTATGTATTTTAGATTGTACTATATATATAAGTGCTTATTCAGTAAATTTTTACTCTTTGCTATATTAGCATATGTATATAAACATGTGCTTTTAGTTACTAAACAGATTTCCATGATAGTTGCATGTGCTTGCTCTTATCCATGTACTTTTGAACAAATTCTCTCATACCTAGCAATAGTAGTATGTACATGTATGTTTTGTTACTTTGCTGTGACACTCTTTCTTATGTTTTGTCGTAATAATAGCTCTTCAGAGCTAATGATTCTGTTTTCACATATACGACTATAAATAAAATTTCTTGTATCTTGTATAACATGTACAGGGAGACTTATCGATACATGTGTGACAGCTTTTATTTTAGATAAGATTGTCCCTTAATTTCTACACATAGTTTCACGCCAGGGGGAATTTTTCAGTTTCAATCGGTAGTGCTGGAGTCATATGTAGAAGATTGGGCGTTTATTTTGTTTACATCTATTTTAAATTAATTTTTCAAAATAACACAATTCACGGCACGATTTTCGTTACCACAATGAAAGGGCAATGGGCCTTAAAATTGGCCTTCTCGGGGACCTGGGGGTCACTGGTTCCATCCCCGTTGGAACACAGCTCTCTTTTCTGTTAAATGTCAATGTCTTAGAGTATAATAATAAAGTGGGGGTCAAAGTATCAGATATGCCAAAAGGTCAGTGGTTGGGGTATTTACCAAAATGGACAGGAATGGAGTTGAATTACCGAAATGGAGGGAAATGGGCTTTAAATTGGCATTATTTCTAGAGAACGAACCCTAATATGCATTCTTCGTCACCAACTGGAGTCATATGTAGAATATTGGGCATTTATTTTGTTGTTTACATCTATTTATTAAACTTTTCAAAATAACCCTATTCACGGCACGATTTTCGCTACCGCAATGGCCCTTGGGCCTTAAAATTGGCATTATTTCGAGAGAATAGACCCATATATGCATTCTTTATAACCCAATAGAGCTAGATGTAACAGGTAGGTACTTAAATTTGACTGGAAATAATTTTTCATTTGTCATTTTGTAACAGGAAAGAGAATAGTGTGCTTCCACCGGGAATCGAACCCTCAATCTCCAGGTTCCTAGTCGGACGCTCTACCACTGAGCTAAAGGAAAATTCCCTCTAGCTCGAAGGCGACCTTATAAGCCTACGTACAATTGAACCCTACCACAATTTAAATACTCCAACCCAAAACGTGGTGTAAAGTATCTTTTTGTAATGAATATGACGTAAGTGTTAATACAATCCACTACAAGGTGTACCATTAGGACTTGTTTATCTACATATTAGCAGATTTCTCAACAGACACCGATGCTTGCAGACTGTTGTAGATTTTGACAGGTTTCTGTGACGGCTGTGTTATGAAAGACGTGGACACTGCTGTGTCTTGCACCATCAAGCTGGAATTTGTTGATTAACATAACTGGATGTCAACTCCAAGACCTTATATGGAGATACTTTGTAAATTAGTTTATATATGTAACTAATAATGTCGGACCGATCGACTTGCGATTTCGAGAAAATTGCATAACCTTAACCAGTTTTACCTGTCACCGGCAGAAAAAGTGTGTTCGGCAGCCATCTTGAATCGTCTAATAGGAAACTAAAGACGGAGAGATACTGTTCCGGATATAAGTCTTCTATTGGTAAAAGTAATCGATACCAAAATACAAACTGTTACATGTACAATAATGTATATGTTATTAATGTGACTATAATGCATGTACATCTAATCATATAGCAAGAGGCATAAATGGCCTGTATCGCTCACATGGATCTTTATGCTCAGCAATGGTATATTGGGTATCGGTTCCGGACCTCAACCACTTCAAAGCCATGGCCCAGAAACTAAGTCCTTGATGTCCAGCAATGGTATATATGGTTATGTGGTGGGGATCTCAACCATTTCAAAGTAATGACAAAATAATTCAGTCCCATTGGGTGTGGTCAGAATCCAGGGTCAATTATTAAATATGACTGTTTAACACTTTTTGTCTATCAAACGTATAAATAGTTATGAGATAGGCTAGGGATCCAAATTGTTTCAAAGTTATGACCTAGAAATTAAGTCCCTATGGGTGGGGCCAGACCCAAGGTCAATAGTAATATCATGTCTCTTGATGCCCATCAATATGGTATAAATGGTTATGGAGGTGGGGATCTAAACCGTTTCAAAGTTTTGGCTCAGAAATCAAGTCCTTGGGGATGGGGTCAGACCCCAGAGTTATTTCTTTTATCATGATTGTGTTTGTCTCTTGATGTTCAGCAATTGTTTACATGGTTAAAGGATGGGGAGCTCGATAATGTCCAAGTTAAAAAATATTGTTGGCCCCGCCCCTCAGATCCAGGGGTCAGCCATTTCACTGGTCAAGTTTAAATCGACCGGATTTGCTTGGGAATCGGCGCGGTCGCTCAGCTGGCCGTTAAATTTCACGCATGATTTTACATTTTCATTCAAAGATTTTTTTGATTTTTTTTTAATTTCCTCGAATTCCATATCTTATCGATTTGCGTCTGTCAATGAAATCAAATGCTTTTCGAAAATCTACGAAACAACAATAACGTCTGTTCTTAAGTTTTAATTTCTTATTAATGAGGGTTTGTAAAGCAAATATGGCGTCGGTCGTTGACCTTCCCCTTCTAAATCCAAACTGAGCATCTGTCAATATACAGTTTTCTTTTTCCCCATTCCATAATTCTATTATTTAAAATAGTAGTTTACCAAAGCAACTGACTCAAGATATTCCACGATAATGATCAAATTGGTACTATACAAGATTGCGACCAAGTTTCTGGGAAAAACTCAGATCTAAAAATAGCATTGAACAATCGTTCTAAATATGGTAGTAATACTTCTTTCCCACGAATGAAAATTTCATTAATTATCAAATCCTCACTACAGCTTTTATTAAACAAATTATCAATAGCTTTATTTAATTCTTGAGCTGTGATGTAACTGGCAAGATCCTCGTATACAGGATTTAAGTTAACATCTGGTACATCTGTATCCCCGTCGCTACTAACACCCATAATATCTCTAAAATGAGAGTAAAAGTCATCAATACACAATGTAAATCTAAATCTGTTCGGTGTCTTGTTCTTAAATAACTTATAAAGTTGCCGGGGATTAGATTTTTTTTTTTAAATCTAACATATTTCCTTCATGTCGCTTTTACTGCCTTTTTGATTTATACTCTATTTTTTGTATACTTACGTTTGGCAGTAACCAATACACGGTGGTTCTGATCAGACTTGTCACGATTAAAATTCATTAATGATTTTCTATATTCCATGTAAAGAATTTTACCCTGTGAGGTAACCATGGTTTGTCAACTGAAGCTTTAACACGGCGTCAATCTTCCGAGTTCCGAACAGAGTTCTCTCTACATGTAGTACGTACAAATGTATATACTATGACATATATTGTTCACACATCCATTTCTTCATTAATCATCTCACTACACTCTTGTAATTTGTTCAAAACTAAAGTTACATTTTCATCCTTACATTCAACTGACACACTATTTCCTCTACCGGAAGTAGCACTCCCTGTAACAATATCCGCATTATTTGTGGAAATGAGTTGACTAGAAGTAATAGTAAAGGAAATGGGACTATGGTCTGAATAAGTATTAACATGACCGGGATCAAATTTGGTTAGATTTTTCATATGTGAACTATCAGTCAACAAATAATCAATCAAGCTTTTCCCATTTGTATTATAAAAAGTATACATGTATGTACCAACAGCATCATCTAGGTGTCTCCCATTAACTACTGACGACTTGCACATGTCTAGTAACCTTCGGCCAAATGTATTCACCCAGTTATCCTTGCTATTACGGATAGTGCTTTCTGATTCATCACCTTAATCGATCATGTTGTTTATATTATTTTGGATAACTCTCCGTACTTTTTGTTAATGGTTTTATCAGCATAGACCCTATCCCGCAACAAGGGCCGCTCAACAACCAATGTGGGGACCCCCTTGCAGAATTTGGTACTTGCTCTTGTACCCTTATTACTTTTGGCTTTAGTACTAAACGCTAGGGTAGGCAATGGTAATGGTTCTGTCGCCATGCCGAGACATACTAAAGTCATTGATAATTGTTTTTCGTCCAGCATGAAGCAAACTAACAACCACTGGGAAACTGGTCGTCATTATGGTGTGACCGGGCGGAGTTCTGTGCTGGCTTTATTCAGCATGGTATTTCAGTGAGGTAGCACTATAAAGTCGGCATGGTATTTCAGTGAGGTAGCACTATTAAGTCAGCATGGTATTTCAGTGAGGTAGCACTATTAAGTCGGCACCATGTCCGCGATATTGCAAGGAGGCAAATGTACAAGCATATCGCCTGCAGATCACATGTACACAAACATTACACAGGTCCGTACATGACCCTAGCTGTTACGCAAAATAATAAAAAATAAAAATCAACATAACATAATGAAAATTCTCTTCCAAGAAAGATTACCGGCGATACAAATAAATGATTTTGAACTATTTTGGAACTAATTTTGTGCAGAACATGACAAATGCCAAAATAAAATGGTGGATTGAATTAAAAGCATCAATTAAAATATTAAAATATGCATTCCAAAAGTGAGCCTGGTTACACGCATTGTTTGTTTATGGTATCATATTCAGACAGGTGCTGAATTATCTCTATTGAAATAAACTACCTAATATTGAAGTATATCATGATGCTTTTAATTCAATCCACCATTATTATGAATTTGATAAATAGATTAACTAAATATGCTTTCCCTTGATTAGATTACAAAACACAGGGTCCGTACGTTTAGCTGATAATGTTTTGGAATCCGATGCTTAATATGATAAAGTAATAACTAAACGTCTTTCATATATAGGTATGGGGTTATGGAAATTCTGTTTATGACGCCACAACAGTGACCTAGACCGGTCAGTAGATTAATATAATCATCCCCTACCTTGAGTGTACAGTATGACATTAAAATGTCCAACCCGAGGGGTGATTCATTTGATTGTCTAACCTGGGGCTCTGCCGAGCGTGAGACAACCAAATAATTATCCCGATGATTGGAAATTTCTCTGATAATTCAAATTGAATGTAGGGTTGCACATTCTTTCTCCAATCATCCCAATACAATGTTTAAAAACAATGTTTTTTAGCATTTGTAGTCTATTTGTTATCCTGATTTACACTACTTCTCCGTGCAAGCGCTGACTGTGACGTCATATCTGATCGTCTCCTTAACTTCCTAGTATTTTTTTTTCTCTATCTACGTGCAATCTGTCATACCCTAAGGGTTGCCGGAAATCACACATTAGGGATGACAAGGAAATCATGAACAGGTGAAACAAGAGACAATTCAGTCAAAGGTGGGAGAAAGTATTGTTCAGCTTAAAAGGACTTCAAAATATTCGGGGGGAGGGGGGTATTGGGAAGGAAGACATTTTCTGCATCTGTTTTATGCACTGGGCAATTTTTATCATAAATCCAACACAAGAACCGATCTAAGGTAAGCTCTGTATATATCGAAAGTCATAACGACTTCATAAACGATATACTAATAGTCGGTAGTTTCCCTGAACATGTAAATATCTTATCAGCAAGTGTTCAGTTTAAATCAAACACCATTTTTCTGTTTTACTTTTCACATCATTATACAAATTGATGACTTTAACTTAATACAGCATAGTCTGAAATAATAAAATTATACAGCAATGTTTATTAATTGTTTACGCTTGTATTAACATTTGATGTATACTTTTAGAGGCCCGACTCTTAATTGTGTAGAAAAGAGTGTTAGGTGGGAAAGTTAAATTCTCAGAGAATAGCATTTCTTTTGGATCAATATTCGTCCTTGGTCAGTAATAATGTAAAACCATTGCCATCAGGTGGTTTTGACAGACACCATATTATGTGGCAATGCATTATATTTTCTTGCTCAGCAGCGTATATACAGCCGGTGTCCACCGATATAATGGTCAAATCAAATCAAATTAAGTACAATATCCATATCAACATGGATAAACACAATGTCCCTATCAAAGATGACAATCTGCATTAAACCCCAATGCGGCTTATATTCTACCAGGCAGGAACTATATTCCCGGCAACGCGTCTGCAATACCAATGTGAGTTTTGCTAATCTCCTCGGAGTATTATTATTCACAGAATATCGCCAAATTGTCAAAACCATTATTTCTCCAGGCAAACGAGAACATGTTGTCTTTCTGTGTTTGTCAGTTGTGCTTTAGCTTAACTCGGTTACTGGGTCAGGCAGAACAGTATAGCAATATCCTACCACCATTAAATTTCACAGACGTGTGTGCTTGGTACAGTATGTTAAACATATTTACTACAATTCACAACATAAGATAGAACGCATATATTTTACAGGGATAACTCAAAGGGGTTAACACATAAAGGGACAAAAAAAGAACAAAATAAAAGTTCAGAATTGACACCACAAAAGGAATAAAAGAAATCTCCAAACAAAAGGGAACAACACATTGAACGCCAATATAAACAAACAATATATTGTGAGCTCTCGGCTAATTAATGTTTGTGTTACCAACGATACGCTATCATA